CAACCGTTTGTATAAGCATTTCCCAATAATAAAACGTTGACTTCCTTTTTGTGTAACAAATAAAACTTTTTGACATCCCGAAACGTTTTGCTCAGCCCTAGTATACACTGGTTCGACTGCTTGCGACGATACAAAAGGGATAACCTCGTGGGAAATGAAACTGTGTACTTGTGTTCAAAAGACGGTCCGAAGCGTAAGTGCATTTTCTCAAATGTGTGATAGTTTTACTACCTGAAATACCTCTGTGGTTTCAGGCATTTTTGGCTCAGTCCCTGATATCCATAGATTTAACGATGATTGAAATATTTATGTTAGCGAGTGTATGTATTTCATCAACGATTGATCATTTACTGGTTCAATTAGTGTGAATGTCGTTTCCAGCCGGGTAGCTAGATCAAACTGCGCATTTTCACTGCTTTGTGATGCTGGTATAATTGGAGTATGGATGAATTACGCATCACGCATCAAGATCGCAACTGAAGCACAGAATCACAATAGCACTTGTACTCTGGAATCCACTGTCACCGAGACGCAGATCAAAAATATCACGGAAGTGGCGGTTAGTTAATTGAGTAAAATCAATGGGTTCAAATAATATGTACAACGAAATGTTATTGGTTAAATAGGTCTCACCAATAGTCTGCTTGAATTCTTGATGTCACACAGCTTTCGTTTGAACGGCACGGCTTCTGATTGGTTGGCACCATAGGCCTGTGGTTCGTTGCCCGGAAACTGCAATGCGTCGTACCGTGGTTGGCGTTATCGGGTGGGCTATGATCATTATAGATACGCCTTTATCTGACAAAAAGAATCTCGACTGCATCTCATGAATAAAAGGTCGGGGACATTTGTGGCATTCAGCACTGCTCTAAATTTTTGAACTTACAGTGGTGAACTATGCAACACCCCGAACGGGACAGACATGGTTTCGAATCAAAGAACAGCAAGAATGTCCCTCATGAAAATGAGGGATGGTGATGATAAGGTGAAGGTCTAATAAAACCTAAGGAATTTCGGTTCTGTCTGTAAGGGACAAGATTTTATCTCTCCTTGAAGTCACAACTATTTATCCCTCCTCAGCCCGTTTTGACTAGACTGCCTCGCTCGTTTTCACATTAAAGCATGTGCTTCATCACCTCATCTTCCAATGTTCTACAACGCGTTATACTGTCACTTTGATCAACTTTTCTCGCATTTATCGAACAATTATCCAGTTTTTCATATTCTCTAATTACAAAAGAAACTACCAATGTAATCTATGGACTACCTGATTATATGTTTTTTCTAAATGCAGAGAAATATTTCGCAAATTATTGATCGGTTTGCAAATCACAGCCTGTCGATGAACCCTGCCATATAGATGAGTGATTTTTCCTAATCTTCACTCANTCACTCATAGACGGGTACCACTACCACTAACAACAACGTACGATAGACCTTTTACCTGCCCGAGATCTTTCAAGGTCCTCTGGATTTTTTTCGCTGAGATCGTGCTTGTTCTGAACATGTTACTTGTACTTCATTGAATTAAAAGGATTCGTTTTTACGCTCTTCTCCCAAAACCACATTCTGTGTTTCTGGTTTAATGGCTTAGTATATTGCATTTAATAGAACCGGTAGTAGGCGTGGAAGCGTTTCCTTTAATTAGGCGAAAACTTGCAGCACCGTAATCCATGTACAACAACAAAACTTATCGCCAGTCGGTACTGACCGTACTGTAGTCATCAGCATGCA